GGGAGAGAAACAAAAGAAAACAAATGAATGTTTAGACACGGAAAATGTGGGTTCCCGCATTTTTTGAAAATTCTTTCATTTGCATGTCTTTTAAATAGGGGCTAAAGTGTGTTTTTTGTTCGGGATTAGCGACGAGGCATTTCTGATGGATATTGCCGCGGTAAGAAAATATGAATCTGATATGGTCTTTCCAATCACGTTGGAACGCCTGGCAGTTAATTAATGTTGCCGAGAGTTTTATCAATTAACGACTGCGACTGGTGTCAAACGAAAGAAACGCTTTCATCTCGCTGAAAACCTCTTTCCAGCCTCGTTTCTTCGTAATAAGTTACGTTATCGAACAATATCAAACGGTGACAAACATTGCGGACTTCGTTTAAAAATCCGCAACCCTCTCAACGTCCGGAACCGTAATTATTAATGAAAAGAATGAGTTATATAATATCAAGGGTGTAGCATGCTCTATAACGACCGATAACGTAAACCAAACATGCGTTGTTCATATTCTTAATCATCGTCGTTTATACCAAATGAACCGTTTATAAAAAAAATTACTTAAAGTCAAGCACATTACGAGTTTCACGAACGAAAAGAAACCAACAATGATGCAGTCCCTAATCATTTACAATAAAATAAATGATACGAAAGCAAGAACTTAACCAGCTTTATAACAAACTGCAACTTCGTCCGAACTTTAATTATTTACTGAAAGGGTTTACGCGAAATCAAGAACGTAACGAGCTCGACAACGAACGAAAAAACTGCTGAAATACTCTACCCGGGCCCTTAGTCATGAAACAACAAAATCGGCAAAAAATCAGGAACGTATCGAGCTTTACAACAAAAGCCTCCCGGAGACAACGGAAGCTGGAGGAAGGATCGCGAGGTAAATTTCGAAAGCCACGGCTAGCCGAAGCTCCTCTATTTTTCGGCCGATTGTTTCACGGGGAGATAGGTTCGGCGGTTTATCGATTTATCGTTAATTCCGACCAATTCGGCCGCGTCCGGAGTTCCGCATGCGGCCGTGCTTCCCTGCGGGGGGCGACTCGGCCTGGGAATCGGGGCGAAAACGAGAGAAAACCCCAGGGAAGGGGGGAGAAAGTTTTCCGGCGTGTTTGTCGCTCGTGAAAATTTCACGGCGACACGGCCGGCATTTCGGCAAAATTCCGCGGGCGTCGCGACGCATGGCCGCCGCGGCCGCCGCGAAACTGCGACCCTCCTCTAAGCCCCTGAATAATATAATGCAGTCGCAGTGCATCGCCGTTCTGCGACACTCTCGGCGTCGCAGTGTCGTTAAAACCCCGTTCGACGACCCTTTCCCGACATTTCCCGGATTGTTCCCTCGACTTTTAAGGTCTCGTCTTCGCCGTTCGTCTCCGGCGAATCCCTCCGTCTAAGTCGCGTTTCGCGGTGCGAAATGATGGGCTTTAACACGGCGCGAATTTCTCGCAGGATTTCGAGGCAGCCTTGAATTTCCCGGCGCATCTGCATATTCCTTTTCAAACGGTTTTATATGTAAAGAGAAGAAATTTTGACAGATTTACAGTTTTTACGATTTCTTTTAAGTATATGACTGGTGAACCCTAACTGGTTAACATGAGTGGCTTAATACGGGATAAAAATATTTCTTGATAAGAACTTTACGCGAGTATCGAATTCTTGAAATTTTCCTACATATTATTGGAAGCTTAGTCATTTCCTATGTATTTTATTTATTATGAAGAGCGTACAGAAGTCGTACTATCGAACGTCTTTTCTGTAAAAGGAAATCCTCTTCTCCGAGTTCTCCTCAGATTTGGCAGCCTTCGTTGGCTCGAACTTCTAAGAATGCGTCGACAAATTTCCACCGGCGACTTCGTTTCGTTATTTTTTACCCCTCTATGGGAGAGATAGAGCCCTACACGTGGATCGTGCAACTAGACTTCAAAGCTCCTCCTTACCCTCCCTCGATGTACCTTCCGTGAATATTTAACCCGCTCGCCTTGTCGACGAACTTGTCGCATCGATAACGAGCACCGCAGGCTTTATACTTATCCCCGTTGCTGCATATCCGCCAGGTCACCCGAGATGCGGTGAAAAAAATCCCCGGGTTGAAAAAATCTGCCGACTCAAAAAACCTACGCCGCCATTAAACACACATGATATATCGCGTTATCTTGAAAAACACGGATTCGCACTCAGGGGACGAACGGTCCACATCGGCGTAAAATAAACGGAGGATCATTTGACAAATAAAAGATAATTCCCTGAAATTTATCTCATCAAGTTTCCCGCTAAATTTTCATATTTTCACGTCACGTCTATTCGCCCGCGGCGAAATTGCGCTGGGCTATCTACTTTTTCTGAAAAAATAAATTAATGTTACAAAAATGCAAATCACTTCGTGGGTTGATTTTTTACTTTTCTCTCCGAAGTACTTTCGAGGGGAAAGATCCTTCATCTTCGAAAATTCTGATTTTATCGGACGGTCCTGATATACGTTTTTCGGGGTTTGCTTCGGGGCGCAATGTATATATGGTAATTTCTGCCGGATCCTTTTATCCGTGTGGGGAATCTCGTTTCGCTTCCTACCGGGGAATGTCATCTTGTCGAGGACAGGTACTACAACGGCGCGTTATCGATAACGCGTCGATCCGGGGTTTTTCCATCCGCCGGCGCCGTTCTACCCGTAGAAATTTCATTTATAGGCATTTGATTCGATTTGTTTATCGAACGACCGACAGCCGACGCCGATAACGGGCTCCACGACGTCGTAATAAGCTGAGAATAAAACGACAAGGGGATATAACGTCAATACTGTACGTAAGCAGGTGCAGCCGAAGTTTCCGCGATCTCCGGAAATTCAGTCGCATTTTCCTTTCAATCCCACGAGTGGTTTCCATCAATCCCGGGAAATGAAACCGTACCATCCATTTAATATTTATACAATTTCAATGTAACGTCTTGAATTTATATAACATTAAATTACTGCTACGCAGACCCAGTCTATGTTTGCTAAGGTAGGTTATACAGGAATTATAACATTTCATTCTATACAATTACGTATGAAAACTGTATAAAAAAAAATAGCAAATTTTATATAATTAATTAAACTAGTACCCAATATTTATAAATATACGAACAAGTGTCGGACTTTACAACGTTTTATCGGAGACATTTTAAAAATTGCAGGTCTGGCGTATTCTCGTTAAGACAGGTTATGATCTGCGTATTTATTTATTTTTTTCCCATAAACTGCATCTCAAAATAATTCCTGGTCCTCGATGGAAAAAACTGTATAGACATTTACAGACGACTTTTCGGATTTGAAGAAGACTGAATTTCTAACTTGATAGATTATTTCACGATCAACCTTTGTTTGAGTCAGAGCTCGATCGACATCGCGATGAGCCCTAAACTCGGACTATTCCGAATTGGAAATTTAATTGGTATTTCATTAGCGCAAAGCTAGGCGTTCACGATGAGCATAATCATTGTAATCGAGTAGCGCGGCGGTAGTTAGGCGAAGCTACACATGGAAATGCGTAATTTCGAAAGTAGGTACCCACTGGACCTCCTGTTTCAGTTTCTCGTTTCCGCGTCGAAACTGGAACCCGATTATCGAACAATTAACGCCGTCTTTAGGAATCCTGGGTTAACCGGCCCGTTAACGTTAACGTCAGCGTTGACGTTCACCGCCGTTAATGCGAGCCCTCGATCGAGCATCGATTGGTTCCGTTGGAAACATTCGAGTCGATCGATTCGGCCTGACGAAGACGCTGATAGGCGAGTCGCCTCAATTAGCGCAAACCGCATCGATAATCACGCGTTCATCCATTAATGATGCTTTATCAAACGACCCCAGTCGATACATCCGGGAGGCGTCGACTGGAAGCGAGGTCGGCAATATTGCATTTCCAGAATTTGCTTGGATTAAGGGAGTTCCCAAGTGAGCGCCTATCAGGCACGCTTATCGTCGAAATTGATTTCCCATTATTTCTGCAATATGGCCCAACAGGATTTCTTGGAATATCTCGAAATTCGCGGAAAGAGAAATTTTAGAGTTTTAGGCATTGCAGATTTTTGGTGGCACAGTGTTTGTACATTTTTTTTCATTAGAGCAGACTGAGACCAAGTATGACGTGGTGATGATTAATTGTGCACTTTTGCACGATGGAATGAACTTTTGGAACAATTGATACACTACCGTATTTAAGAGGGAGAAATGCACTTCCATGTGCAATTATCAAAATTGGTTCGCCCCGGAAGTATTATTCTTCCAGGACGATCCGCTTAACACTCCCAATCGTATCGACGATTCCGCACTGACGGATAATGAAATATTGCACGAGGTACGCGCGTTATTTAGTCGGCGGCGCAGAAGCGGTCCGCGATATATCGGCTTATCGATTTTCGAAATCGCGGGGGTAAATAATGATTACTTTTGTCCGGGGAATATTTTTGAACGGGCGTTGGAATTCGCCGATATAAGCGGGGCCACGAAAATTAAGGTAACACGTATCACAGCTATGCCAGGAATTATTAACAGGATTTAAATTACGCCCGTGATATTATTAAAAAATACCGGAATACAGATTTCTCTCGAAAGGGTGTAGATAATAAAATCGAGTTCATTTAATCTCTAATAATGTTATAGTAAAATCGATTCACCATTTTGAGAGATCATTTATCCAAGTACTTGTTACCTTTTTAACTATACCTTGTCTACGACGAATAGTTATACATTTGAAGAGGAACATTTTATGATACTCTTCTTTTTACGGTTTTTTTTTAATCTATGATACTTTCCAATCAGAGATCATTTATTGTCTGAGCAAATTCTTTTTTATAAGAATGAAATTTTATAACGCGATTGAAGATTCTTATAAATAATAAGTAGTAAAGATGTTGGTTAATTAATGCAAATCTGTAAATGCATTACAGAACTCCTGCAATGCCGCTCGTTTCGTCTCCGTCTTGTTTCTCAGTCTTTTTTCTTTAAAAAGAGTCGCCATGAATTTTGTCGGCCATTAAGTGTCACGAAATCGTTCATCTAAATTTTCGAGTTATTTTCGACAAATCAATTTAAATCAGAAAGAATCTGTTCACGTCCGCAGTTTAAAGTTATAGTACTTTCCTGACGGTCGCGGATTTCCGGAAAGTCGTCGAAAAGTTGACACCTCAATTTTGGCTCCGTAAAAGAAGAATCAGCGAGTAAGTTCCCCAGGATTTTTAAATCCCCCCAAAATTAAAACACGGCGACCTTTCTTCGGCATAAAAGTACCGTTTCACAATACCTTTTCAGAACAAATATGCTCATTTCGAATACCTTGCCAAATATCGCGCGAGAGTGCTCCAATTTCCGAAATAAACAAATATGTCGGTTCAGAATACCTTTCGGAATATCGCGCGGGAATGCGCTAATTCCGGAAATATTTTCCGCCACCGAATGCCCGCCTTATTCGGGGCTAGCGAAATGCCTCCACAAAATTCGAAATCCGCGTTCCCGTTCATTTTTAATCCCTCCGAATATATAATTTCTCGGCGCAATAAATAAATATAATTAAAGTTTCATTCGGCGTAAACGTCGTCGCATCTGAAATTGCTCCGGTCGAGTTGATTCATTTTCCAGGTGCTAAAGTCGCGATTCCTCTTTTTGCACATTGACGTTACCTGCATTACCTTCGCCGCCGAGTAAATAACCTCGTAAATAGCTTTTCTCGGCTTTATGCCCGCAAAAATGCCACACCGATACCCCTGCACCCTCTGGGTACCTCCTCGGGGGTGACTCCTAAACTCGTTGCAATTAAGGGAATGAAATAAGTACTCGGAGCTCGATCGGCTCCGGCCGATCGATCCGGTCCGAAGTTAATCCGAGCTTAAACTCGAGTTAACGGAATCCCCCTAATTACTCTTTCACCTCTCGAGTCGTTACTTTTCCATTTTTCTTCCCAGCCGTTGCCTCGTCCGCAAACCGATGGTGTACCGTTAAGCGGCGCCGCAATTAGTGTCTTTTTTTTATATCTTTTCTGATACTTAAGGACCTTTTTACGGACCCATAAAATGCCTCTAAGATACAATTCATTTTGTCGCAAAGCAAAGGGGAGACGATTGGAGTTTGCCTGTACCTCGAAACGGTCGGTAGCTTTGAGGGAATTTGACTGGTTTTGAAATGTCAGTCAATGGGGATGTCAATTTTAGGTTAGTCGGAATTATCGGAATATTCACCTTGTCGTTATCGGAGCAAGATTTGAGACGTGATCGGTCTGTAATTATTAATGATTATTTGCAACCACTCCAGTCGTAGATTTCACTTTGACAGATTGAGGAGAGAGGAACATAAAAAAGAGGCAGGACTAGTTGCAAGGTGCGCTTTCTTCCTTTAACAGCTAAGTGCTTCTCCACGTTTTAAAGATCTCGGTGTCCCCTTTTCATCCCCGGGTCTTTACATCGACGCGAAAAATGCACTGCCGGCTTTTGCGCTTCCGCACTTTTCTTTAACTGCGTTAGGTTAGGGTCAACTTTTTTACGGCCGTGGTCGTAAAAATTTGATTCCCCTTATTATGTCAGAAACTTAATCTGCACTTTATTTTTAATCAGTCCCACAATCAACAGGAAAAATGACGCGTTCATGGCCGTAAGGACATTTTTATATCCGGTACTTTAAAAAATGTCTTTCTGTAATAAAAAGAATTATTACTCTTCTTTTTTGACACAGGAGAATCTCATGAAAAAACGGTTGATTCATGATTGCAAGCGGTTTATTATTTATTACTTCAAAAGGGGAGGGAGTTGAAATTCAATAGCACTGCATCGTTGATATCTTATCGTTATTAGAAAAATTGATACGAAAGCCGGAATAACATCGTAAATTCTCATTAGTTTCCAAGGCATTCGACTCAGCGAAATGTTGGAAATGTAACGAGTTCGGAGACAAAAAAAGTCAGGGCAAAAATAAAAATGTCTAAAAAGGCGGAGATCGAAGAAGAGGCCCTTGAGACCGATGGCCGATCGGCAGACACTCTGACGAAGGAAAGTGGAAAATCTACTGATAAGTCAACAGTGGATCTGGAGTGTACTTCCAAGTGCCGAGGGAGCCTCGAAACAGATCCAACACTTATCGTGTGTATTTATGCCGATATTTTTTTTCCTGTAGTCGATTTCGCGTGCTCACCGACTCTTCTAATGGAGTAGATGCCGATGAAATTGCCCGATAACTGTGGTCCAAAAAAGGCTTGTGATAACGCAAAGTGGAGGCGCTTAGCGAAGGACACAAAGACCGACTCGAGCAAGGACTGCTTTGAATGAAACACTCATCTTGTGTATTTATGCCGATAATTGTTTTCCATGGTCGATTTTACGTGCTTATCGCCTCTTCTATTGAAGTAGATGCCGAGGAAATAGTCGGAAAACTGCTGTCTGAAAAAGGTCTGCGATAATGTAACGTGGAGGCGCATGGTGAAGGGAATAAAGAACGACTCGAAGGACTGCTTCGGAAATGGGTCTTGAGATAAGATGAAAACCTATCAGGAGATTTACTGGAGTCTGCGACTCGAGAAATATTAGTTTCCAAGGTTTTTACTTCTTATCTAACAAATTTACTCTCTTTTCGATTTCTTGCGCTGATAGGTGCTTGAAATAATGCCAAGTGATTTTGAAGAGATTTAAGAGTGGTTTGGATCAGCGATAAGACATTTTGCTAAATCGTAAATTGAGTATCATCACCTGCTGGAATTTTAAAAATTCAACAATCGATTAGGCCGTCAGATAATTTAGATAGCCGTGGGAGACTTTACCACCAGATGGACGAGTTTCCAAATTATCGCGATTATATTAATTACCACGAGAGGGACATTAATAATAACGTCAATAATATAACATATACTGCTGGCGGCTGCGTTGCATTTTCGAGTGAATGCACATTGGATGTATCGCCTAGATATTATTACCAAGTACGTCGCTGAATTTTCGCATAAATCTGGAAACTATAATCTTCGCAATTAATTAACTCCCTTCCCATGATAAGTTTATCTCGGGTTCTGGCGTTTCAATGCTATGTTAAAGTTTTACCGACCACACAACTACAAGTCTATATTAACAATCGGATCAATTTATAGTCAATAGCGGTGCATCATCGAATACAAATGAAAATGTCACCCATCACGTCATATTTCTCCATTAAATTTACGCGGTCATTTTTAAATTATCATTAATATAAGTGGCCTCTTTAGCGGAAAAGCTTCATCTCGTTGATTTAACTCTGAATATCATTCAACAAATAATCGACGTATCCGAAAATCGAATTTCTCTGAAAAGAAGTCTGACCCAAATCGAAGCCAGGCTTCGAAAATAATTCCGTGTTCCCTTTTCCTTGGAAACCATTTTCTCGCGATTTTTCGAGTCCCCTGCCTTTTCGCGGCGCCCCATTTGCGGGTTAATCGCGCTTGTCACATTTTCTTCCCCCGAATGCGCACTCGAGGTGCACTTTAGGGCTGCAGCCTTGACCCAAGTATCGACTTTCTTTCCGTAGGGACCCTCGTCTCGAAAGATGCCCGTCATAGGATGCACTCCGGAGGACAATTGCAAAAAGGACGCGTACTTGGCGAGACGAGCTCGTTTACGTGCCAAAGGTTTGGCCCGAAAGGGATTCCCTTGATAACGTCCTCGGATGGACCATAAACCGGATGCTGCGCGCGATCGGCCGTGCCCCCTTATCGCGCTTATTAATCTGCTTATGAATAAATATCCTCGCCTCCTGTGTAACGATCCCTTCGGTGTGCTTCGTTTACGAGCAGCTTTCCGATAAAATGGCCGAAATTAAGCGAGACAGTATTACGTCATTTACGTATCTTTTTAACCTACAATATCCTTAGCAAAATAATTATCGCTCTATCACCGCTGGATGCAATTTAAAAAAATATACTCGTACATGTACAGGGTAAATCGTAGGAGAAAGAAGTTGGGGGAAAAAAAATGTCAAAGCGTCATATAGGAATAAAATTATTTGAAAATTCAGGGAAAAATGTGAAGTCGCTCGATGTTGGAAGAGAACGCATTTTTTTGTCGAGTCGTACACTTCATTTGTTCGGCCTAGGGCTTTTCCAAAAGATAAATCTCGCCATTAATTAAATCATACACCGCGATGTCCAGTACGCGTGCATACATTCACCCACATTCATATATCAGCGCGCTGGCGCGACTTTCCATTTAATAAAAGGATCTTCCCTTCTAATAAAAGCGGAAATCCTTTGAATATCCGGTGGGTGCCGGCTGGTCGGCGCGCCTCTTCTTTGTGCGCGCGAGAGAGAGGAAGGCTTCCGAGGAACGAATTCAGGAAATTTGCTTTCGTTCCGCCGACTCAGCGAATGAGGGACCGGATGCCAAGGAGCTCGTGAAACCAGCCGAAGTCGAACAATCGGAATCGGCCGCGATCGAGATTTCGCCAAGTCCAGGATCCAGAGGAGGGAAATCCTCGGAGAGCTCTCAGCAGGAAGATCGGAACGCCGGCGAGGATCCCGTAGATGATCGATCGATCGGGAACCGAGAGATCGAGGACACGGTTAGTGAAGCACCCCAAGAGTCGCCGATTCAGCAGGAGACTCCAGAGGACCAACAATCGGGACAATTGGGGGACCCGACTGCGCAGGATCCCGAGATCGAGATCGAAGATGCCGATCGATCGGCCGATAATCCGGTGGAAGTCGCTGCCTCGGACTAGCTTCGATTTCTCGATAAAGCGCTTTGTCGAGACACCGGCAATAGCGTGCTATTAGCCTTTGATTCGGGAAGTCTGTTCCCAGGACGCGAAGAAGGAGCCTCTTTCCTCCCTGCTCCTCCTTTCTTCTCACGCAATTATCCCCGCAATAAGATGAAACGAGACGGGACGGAATCAGCCCGGGGAGTTCCATCGAAGAATTAGTATTCAGGGGATACTAATTGTCCCCGGATCTCCCTCTTTCGGCGCATTGTCCTGGACTTCCGGAGGTCCTGGCTGCATGGCTTCCACGGGGAATGCCGAGGACACGGACCGGGGGGAAGGTAATTCGAAAGCTACTCTTTATGACCATTTTATGAAAATCTGGAGGCAAATTGGAAATTAATCGTGCCGAGATATATCGTAACGGGGTGGTTAATTTTTCTAATCGCAGAATTGTCAGCTCGTTCCGGGGGAAGTCGAAACTCATCCAACACTTTGATAGGAGAAGATGGCGAGGAGGATGCCGAGTACAGTGAGAGTAAGGATTGCGACGATATTCCTGGGATGAAAGAAATATAGTGGATCGTGAAATTACTTTTAATTCGTTTCGTCAGAGTACGAGGAAGCGGTGTTCACGGCCACTGCATTTGCAGTGGTAATTGCAGTGTACTGTTGCATCGTTTACTCCCTGAGTAGTCCACCCTCGCATCTGTCGTCACTATCTTACCACTAAGAAGCACCTGGACCGAAGTAAACCATGGAGAGGAAGTAATCTACAGTCATTATTTAAAGGAACTTTAATATATTTCGAGTAGGTGTAAAATAAAGCAAACTCGAAATAATCAATATCCCGCCAGACAATTTATCCGAATAAAGTTTGTATTTGACCCAAGAGTCGTCTGCCGTTCAATTTCAACCGGGGCTATTTTCTTTCCCGTATTCTCGAAAACACTCGCCAAAGAATTTCCAACACACCCCTGTAATTCGATTAGATTTCGAATGGGGTGAAAATCGAGGGGTCGCACAAAGCTCCGTTCGGAAGTCGAGAGAGCAGACAATTCGATCGCGTCCTCGAGGGAGGGAGTTTATTTTCAAGACTTCGGCAAATCCCGCGAATTTCGCGCAAACCCTGTAAAACGGTCCTCGAACCGCCAGGGATCGGGTCTCGTTAAATTTTTCCATGGGTCGTTTACCCCTTCAGCTCGACGCACCCCTTCGAAAATCGGGAACCGAATTTACGATTTTTTTCTTATTTTCTTACGTCTCCCCGGAATTCGTAAAAATCCTCGACAGTCTAAGAGTCAAGAATAAGTTCGTTTTTTTTTTTGAAATTTCAGAAAAAGGGCCCGAAGGGTCCTACTCTCGCAAGATTCCAATCTGAACTAGCCGAGGGTTGAACTTACGCGAAGCGTATTTCTTTCGCTCGTTTTTACCCTCGAAAAGTCCGTTTTCTTTCTCCCCTCCTATATAGTTCTTTCCTCTCTTTCTCTAACTCCGAAGTTCGATCGTCGATTTTCCGTACCGAGTTTCGATATCCGCCATTCGACTGTCAAACTTCCGGCTGATACGCGGGCCCGACTTAGACTCTCTTTTTCCGCGTCATTTCAGTCTGCTAAATTTCCCAATATTTTCGAGTTAAGGGTAGCCCCACGAAATAGTATGTACAAAGGGACACATCGCTACGTATTAAAATTGTCCCCACATTAGGAGTCCAAGATTTTCAGATTTCTTCCGATCTAGTGCCGAGAGCGCCTCCTCGATGAAATTTTGCAATTAATAATTATTATCTGCCAGCGGGTCCGCTAGTCTTTATCGCATTAAAATTAAAAACATCACATTCTGCATTATTGTTTCGCTTTGCGAACCTTAAGAGGGGATTGTGGGGTGGAAGTGTTTCCTTGCACTACTCCATGGGTAGGTTTTTGGAACTTGTCGGTGGAATGATTTCGATGAATTGAAACAAACGAGTGTCCCTCAGGGTTCGACGTGGGGCTCGGAGTGCAGCCTCGCGGGGGATATCTGACGAGATGCTGCTCTTGGGGGCAGAAGAAACGGGGAGGTTGACAAAGGGTGGCACCTCCTGGCCAGGGTGGAGACTAAATTAGGAAACTCTGTCGGCGAGGTGCACTCGTAGCCGGTGGAAGTCGGCGGTGGGTGGCAGGAGCTGTCCCGGACAGAAGTAGGCCGAGACTGACGCTTCACGTCGCCTCGTATTTGGATCCGCGACGGAAGCGTCGAGTCGGGAGAATCCGCGAGAGCGAGAGAGAGGGAAAGAAGGGAAGAGTTGGAGGGGAGAGAAAGAAAAAAGGAGAGAAAGAGGGGAGAATGAGGAAGAAAACGAGAAATGGAAAATCGGCGCACGGCGCGCGTTGGAAGTGAAACTTTTATGTTAATCCTTATTTATTAATGATACGTAACCGAATGTTAAAAGAAGCGATCCATTTTTGGAAACGGGCATCTATTAAAACATGCAAATATATATGTATTATCGTATGAGAAGTTTCACTTTAAAATAAGAATGAAAAGGAAATGGAAATCAGCTCCCCGGTGGAGGGAAACGGACAGCGAGGTTCCGAATAAAGAGTGGCATTCGCGGTCACGTCCGAACTGTTAAAAGTATCGGTTTTATTCCAATGTATAGCAGATTGTATATTTTATACGAGTGCACAGAGTGCAGCGCACCGCGGTTGAAATTTCATATACGCGGATATGACTTTTGCAGACGGGACGGACACTCGAACGAATGAATACCATCCGCGCTTCTGCCGGAACGTGTTTTCGAAATATCGAATCCTTTTGCGCGGCATCTGCGAAATAACTGTTGGCTCGCAAAACGATTGTGCTGTAAAGAGGAGGCTCGAAACGCCGGCGGACATTTTGTTGGCCCAGTAATGGAACTGTGTCGCCGGACCGCGGATTGCCTACTTGTCGTTTATCAGACACATCACTTGCAGTCGACGCTCGTATTGAACATATTCGATATATTCCGAGAGAAACGAGACACCCTCCAACGACGTCCAGTGACACCCATAGAGCCCCTCGTTCCATATTTACGCGATTAACATTTTAAACACGGACTCAATCTTTAAACCCTTTCCATGCAAAAACCATCCACCGGGTACTCCGACGTCTCTACCCTGATAAAAAGACTGTCATCGAATCAAAGAAATATTCTACCAATTCAAATAATAATTATTTGACTCAAACAATCCCGAAAATAAATCGGATGCAACATTTTCCCCGAATTACGACCATTTATCTGAGTTTACTTCAATGAAATTCTTTGAATTAACCAAATATCCCTTAGGTACATTTCTTTGGTTCAATGAATTCATTTGATCGGTGTATTAATACACGGAGACCGTATTTCCTGGCTCGGACATTTATTGCTCATTTTTGACCATTACTCGTCATGTGCGATATCAAAACTTCAAATAAACACGCAATAAACAATCGTTATAATGAAAGAGGGAGTATGCGTATGCTAATCTATGCGTATTTGCGGCCTCCAGCGAAAGGGTTCAGGGCATCTTTATCGCGTATCCAAATTGTTACGTCGAGGAATATTTAAGGACGCGGTTTGTCGTAAAATTTTTACGGCGACATATCGGCCAGAGAAATATCTTTAACGAACGGGGTCGCAGGTGGAACCTTGGGGTAGGTCCGGAGCGAGGGACGGCAGGAAGAGGATGTACGTAGGCGGATTTGCCGAGGCGAGGAAACTCGGTGAGTCTCTCGGAAGGACTCGGAATAATGGACATTCGAGTACCCGAGGCACTCCGAGGCCGCGACTCGTACTCGGACTCGGTCGGGGCGAATTTCTTTCGAAGTGGCGGCGCGTGTTCGGAATCTCTTTCGGGCTGAAAAGGTCCCTCGGCAGGAAGATTTCGTCGATAAGTCTCTCCTATTTTCCTCCCCCGCGCCTCCTGCAAGGAGGACCGGCCAACTTTTGCATCCTGGCCAACGTAATCGAAATTCGACGACCTTTTCGGCACGTATCAATAAGGACGTGGTCAAAGTAAGTTTTCTATTAGAGAAGTTCCATGGATCACATGTCATAAGATCCATAAGACGTCGGAATAGCGAGAAGGAACGAGTGGAGCCGATCAACGATACCGAAAAATTGATTAGCAAATCACTTGCCGAAGATCCAGCAAGATCAATCCGTGAAATTCATTTTTAAACACTCTGAACACTTTTTTTTCCCCCTGGCGACACGATTTCGTTTTCATTTCAAATAACGCATCGCACCATTGAAAGCTGTAATAAATCCTTGAAACGTGCGTTCGATGTTTCGTTCAGACACGGTGTAATAAATTCGTAACACCCTCGAAGTACTTAATATGCATACTTTTTAACATCGCAAGCCGATTGAAAGAACGTCCGACAAAATGTCATAAAATTCGGCTTCGTATATCAAAAAGGCCCGAAATTTCGTAACATTTCCAACGGTGTATGCGTATTTCGTTCCCTTCAATGCGACATCGGTATGCATTTCCTCGGTTGCCTGCAAAATCAATGCATCTCCGTCGGCTGCTCTTGAGCAGCATCCGGTACTCGTAGACGTAGCAAAGGATATCTCGAGCAATCCAATACGTCCAGCGGGCATAATTACAGCGATAGGTTCAGCTGCGTAGCCGGTCGGAAGACAAACGAGTAACCGAGTATAATCGCGGATACGCGTAATACGTGTAAACGGATTGCATCGGCGGACTGCAGGGTTGGCGCAAGACGCAGCAATAACAACGGATAATTTAGCCGGCTTAACTCGTCTTCGAGTGTACGCCTGCTTCCGCATAGATAGGACAGGTTAAATGCATCGAGCTCGGTGGATGGTTGCCTTACCGAGGGATCGCTATTTCAACGTTAAACCCCCTCTCCCCCAGCCGACTCCTTCAATGCAACTGCCGCGAGGGGAAATTATTCCGAGTACTTAAAGGGGGCATGCGCCCCCGAGAACTTCGCTCCTGGATATGCAACTCGACTCGGGAATTTATTCCCTGCATACGATGCACTTCGAGTTACCCAAGCGGAAGCTGTCGCGATTGGAAGCATCGAGTGCAATTTCGCGATATTCGAATGTTCACGGGATTCCTTGTACAAGTGTCATCCGCCTTCTATTGGGTTGGCAATTAAGTGATTGGGGATTTTAAATAAGAAGAATTTATTCACAAAATCCGCAATCATTAACTTGCCAACCCAATACATTTTATTACGTGATCCGTATGGAATTAATACCCTCGGGATGATGTAGCGGATTACTGAATGATTTGTCATGGATACAATTACTGTAAAATAAAGACAGATTGAAAGATATTGGGAAATCTCGGTGACGTTTCGATGGGACATTTCTATCGGATATATACATCAGGGTCGATTTTATTCCGAGAATTGTTAGATACTTTTCTGGAATATTTCAAGGGGTGAACTTAATGACGGTAGTTTTATTTCTCAGATATTTATGGGTATTAATAATTGTAAGCGCAACGTGGATCTCGGGGAACGGGTTAAAATGGGATCCCGAACGACGCGGAGGGAATTGACACGAAACGGCGCTGACTGTAACAAAATTGCGATCGTGGACATCCCCCCGTCGTTATTCCTAGCCAGGTATTGGTCAGCGTGTTTTTGAGCGTCCCGAGCGTCGCGACGCGCGGCGTCGACATAGCCGGCATTGCCGGTATTGTCCGTAACCGCGGAGAAATTAAACGAGCTGTCATCCAGTGTCGCGCCACCCAGATGCATTTTTCCCGGTCGGTGTTGATTGAAAATAAAATGTTTTATCTGGCGCATACGTATAGGAGTATATACGTTATATATACATAATTATATAAACCGCAGAGAAGGTACACCGAGCGACCCGAAGAACTAGCCAGCTTCGCAACTCGCCGGAAATCGAGCCCCGAGTAAATTGGACCGACGAACGTAAAAGGACGGTCCCTTTTCAGAGTGACCTTTTTCTCGGTGATAAGAATTGGCTTGGAGGCAATTTTTCTTAACTCTTGTGGAACGACCTAAACGTTTAAGTCCGTGTAGCCTTCGGATACGTGACACTACAGAGTTTCATCACGTCGTTAATTACGCGGACGAGTCGAAATCGTTAACCTCTGTAATTCCGACTTTTCGAGGTAATTGCGAGGTAATTTGCTAAGTTAAGCTTTGTTTTATAAATAAACCTTACTTTTCAAAATTCTAACCCAAACAGGTCGGGACTCGTTCGAAATTTTGGATCTTCGGATATTCGCGAGATACTCTTTTTCCCCTCAAAAATCAGGCTTAACCACGAATCCGTAAATTATATTCCGTTAATTACAAAGGAATTACCGTGTCACAAGGGCAAAGCTAATTAAAGAAGCAGACTCGACCACTTTCTCCGGATAAATTCAAGACCCTTGGTATATAACCCGTTTAAGTGCCATGGTGGTCATTAATAACGAGCAACCGCATTACAAGAGCTTACTCGTCACTCGTTTCGGCGTTAAACGCGTTAACCAACTCCCCGGTAAACTTTATTAATTAACGCTTTTAACGGGAAACTTTCAAAGTCCTCGAAATTGCCCCACCTCAAATAGATGCCAGGGGAGGATACGGAAACCCGCAAAAAATTCTACGACGACGAAGACGAGGCCCCTCGAGCGCGTCTTTCGCGAATTGATTTCGCAAGATGGCGGCGCGAACAGACTAACGCCATTAGTTCCCGGGGAATTAAAGAGTTACCGCACAAGGGTCGCTCGTTTCGGCCCAAGTTTCCCTTAGCTTTTCGGCTTTCGCCTCCCTTTGGGACTCGGAGTCCATGCCGTCACCCTGAGCTATGATTTACGAGGGCTTTAATGAATTTGCTCCGCCTTGTTAACGAGGACGACTAAGTTTCTCGCTCTTCGCGGCTCGACGAACCGACCTTTTCTTTTCTTTTCCCACGAATTTCCGAATTTATCTCTAATCAACCATCTGCTTCGCAGCTTCGATAAATCGATGCCCATATAGAGATGACTCTTATGCAACGACGTTTCGCGCGGACTGTCAATTCGGCCATATTTTCCAATTTTTCTGGCATTTTTCTTTTTAACGTGCCCCGCGTTATCAGCTCCAATCGCAATTACCGGCATCGGCATCCTTGTCGCGCGAATAAAGTGCGCTCGCGTTTCGATAGGGACATAATGGAGCCTCGATAATGGAGTAGGAACAACGATCGTCCGTTATTATGTTCTTTTACCCATTATTCGATTAACCATCCGAGTCGGCCGTTCCCGTGATAACGTTTATCGCGCCACGGAGTAGTCTGTGATTGCCGAGGCGTCGAGACGTAAACGCGGTATCGATTCTCCCGCTCTTCGGGGGAAATTGATGGAAATGGAGGCGGCTTGGGAAACGGGCTGAATTGCGGCCTATCTACGGAAAGTGATTAAAAAATTTTGATCTTTATACGCGATACACATTCAGGGGAATTATCGGTACGAGGGAAGAAATTAGGGGAGATAAAACGAGGATTAATATAAGAACGTCTGCAGTTCTTCGACTATTGATGAAAAATTGAAATACTTTCCAGGTTATTTGGGAGGAATTGCATTTCTTCGATCAGGAGTTACGATATTCGCTTGTAATTATATATTATTAATATTGCATAGATATGAATAATGTATTATGGTTTATCTGATACGTAAACGGTGACACTTGTTAAGCGGTATTCCTCGATCATACCTTTCGACATCCACTTCTGTCTGTTTCTAACGTCGACGATGGAAGTTTGAGAAGAACTTCGTATGTGTCGTTCCCGAAAACTCGTAAACTATTAACGATATATTATTGGATATTTGAAACGAGAACAATAACACTCGTCAAATTGTATTTCTCCGATCGCGAGTTACGGTATCCACTTGTATCGAACTTTGGTGATAGGAGCTCGGAAAGATCGCCGAACGTGTCGCACGGTCGGAACGACGATTCCTGTCGAGCTTTAAAGCTCCCAAGTCGACTCGTGGGAGCGAAACTTCCCGAGAAAACTTCGGGACCTATTAATGAAATTTCGAATCGATGGTTTCCACTGGCCCGATGACTTTTGCGAATGTATGAAAAGTTGGGCGCTTCCGCGTTTCCGCCTGTTGCGGTCGAGCCTATATATCGGAAATCGGTATCTTCATGATTTAATTAAACAGCGTATAAAGGAGAGCGTAATCGAAATTTCAGACGAAAGATTCGACGAGATCCCTGGCCGCGACTTGTCGAGTTTGACACGCCTGACGATAATTAGGCAACTGTTGGGAAGTATCCAACACTTTAATCAATGGTATTAAAGGAAATCGAAAGTTAAAGGAAAAATGATTATTTCATAGTTTCCATTTATCCTGCGGTTGGAGTAACCCACACATTTTGGCTGCGCTTCAATCGAGGCTGTCATTTTAACATAATCGAATTATTGTTGCCATTGGTTCTGTTTGAAACTGATAGGCGACAAACTCGTCGCTGATTATGCGGACACAGGGGATGTATCCCTTTATCCCTCTCTTCTGTCTGCAGCCTCCAATAATCGTCGTTTGATTTACTGCCATTTTCGTATCAATCCATTGCTTTACTTTAATCACTTGGGAAAGGCCTAATAAAATTCATCAACGAAATAGCGGCGTTATCATTTTAGTTTAGGTAAATCATACCTCCGATTACAGCGAGGTAGATTCTACTTTTTACGAGCGATCTAATCACGCCGTAATGGAAATTTCTAGCGACTCGAAAAATCCCGAGATATTATATAACAAAGCTTTCGCGAGATAGTACACCATTATGAATGGAACCTGGCACGAAGAGGACAATTAAAAGAGGAATACTGATTATGACGTTATCATTGGATAGCACCAATTTCATGAGTTCCGGACATTAATTCAGCCAAAGTGACTTTTTTGCAAGACTTTTCGGCGAAAAGTAGATATTATGATATTTGTCACTCTGAACGCTAACAAGACAATTGGTGCCAAATTGAACCAAGTGGGCTTACGCGCCCTCTTCCTATAAAACCAACTTCCCAATTGAGGAAGTGAGCCTTCTGAAGAGGTCCTCGAAGGATCCGTACGTACATTTATAGTCTACACGTGCAATGGTTCCGAAAGTTCACTTACCCTGAAACTCCTTCCGGGCCGCGCTGACGGAAGTGACGATGTTAGCCACGTGGCCAAGCACCGTGGCGAACAGGAGCAGACCAAAAAGCAGCTGAGCTATCACGAACAAGTATTCACTTTTGCTTCTCGGTCTGAAAAGCACATAAAGACCTCGTCATGATAAATGAATAAAATACTTTGGTTACTCCGAAAGAATAAATTGAAAGATTTTAAAATGTGCAAATAAATCTTTTCGGCATATTTCTAAAATCTCCCTTTACGGACAAGGTTGATAAGATGACTGTGACGTTCTGTACTACTATTAGAATATTTATAATGCTTCGAAAATACCCGAAAGTGAAGGATATCAGATTTCGATAAGTACAAAAAAAAAAGAAAAAATTAATAACGAATACTTGTTGGAAAGGGCTTTCGTGCAAATTTTAAGAAGATTGCAAATTTATCATGGAGGTGTATTTTCACCTGGGCAAGTCGCCGATGGTCGTCAGAGCCAGCGTGCACCAGTAATAGCTCTGCAGATACTGCTTGACAACGTCCGCCGTCTCCGAGTCGGCGAAGACCCAATTCTTGCTCCCGAAACCGTTGTTCTTATAAATAATGTGATAGAGGCACCCGTTCCAGTGAAAGATCACCAGCAAGTAATGTATCAGTGACGTGGAGCGAAATAAATTCGGATAGTTCGTGTGTCGCTCGGTCCGGTCCATGAACGCCCAGAACCTGCGCCCAAATTGGACCCAAGAAAATGTCTACACTGTCTAGTTTCTTACATGCTCTCGATACAATTTTTTTTCTCCCCTCCTCTATTCGACTTTTGTCGTCTCCTACACGCTACAAGACAAAGTATTCGGAAACGCGGGCCGTACATATAAATTACCGACACAATGCAAGGTATTCAAGAAATGTCTACAATTACCGCGATTACTAACCACGCCGCGTTTTCGCATTAAATCTCTTTTCACCTAAAAATTCTAATGACTGTAATGCAAATATCAAACTACCAAAAAGCTGTAATTTACAATGAATTTAGCATGGATACTCAAAATGATATGTTCCAAGTACTGTTATTTCCCTGTCATGTAAGCTCATAAAAAGAGCATCATGTAAATTTCATAGAACTTCAAAGGAACAATGTATCAAGTCAAACGTCCTCTGACTGCACCCTAGAAGTGAAAAAGCTACGTATCGGGCCACGTTGGAGGCAGAAAATATATTCAACAGGTCCCATTGATTATTCTATTAATGTGCAAAGTTTCCTTTTATGTGGATCTCTTTATCGCGTGCGATTGAATATGTCGGCGGCACGTCGCGCTAGATACGAGGAGGTAAGTAAACTCAAACTCACCGGTAAATTTTAACGAGCCTAAAACTTCGCAGTATACTGTTGAACCCTATAGATAAGTATAAAAAGTCGAGGGGCAGCAGGCACAGGCAGTCTATGTAAAACGTGGTGCTGTTCATGTAGTGATGCCTCAATTTGGTGGCGTCGGTTTGCAGAACGCCGTCCTCGAGGTACCCGGTACGAAAGTGAAAGACTATGTCGACCAAGTAGAGCAGGTCCGACAGATAGTCCAAGCAGAACCACACCACGAGAGTCTCGCCTGTGCGACAATGTGCAGTTGTTCTCTTATTGTTACTGTTATTGCGCTATGTACTTCTATCTCTAGTCCAACGTCACGAGCAACTGGTAGGAAGAAAGAATTCGTCGCGGATGATGATAACAGCATCAAAGTACACCGATTAGAGTACGATCACTGAATTCTCTATGTTTACACAATGGTTTAACATAAAAGCATTCGATGCAAATATAAAGAATTCTTGAAAGCTCCGCCGAAGCTTTTACAGACTCGAATTTAGATCGGAGATACGTAGGAAAATCTTAATACCGTCGACCGAGAGCTTTAATCGGATATCTACATTCCGTGAGGTTAACTGACGTATCGATGTCCGAAAGCTTCCAAGGGGACGGTTTAATCGGAAATGATCTCACGAAATTGAAATGCTCATAATTCGTAACGTCGCATCCGGAGGGAAGAGAAAAACGGAGTTGCGGTTCTCGAGTCGGACCGCGCAAAGAAACGGAAGAAGTAAACGCGATTGTAGGGAAGATACACCGACTCCGCAATGTTGTAGCGATCCGTGTTGGCCGAGGAGGAGGTCGATTCGAGTCTGTTTGCTCGGGGAAATTGAAAGTCGAATTTAGAAAAGCCTCGCGCCGCTATCGTTATCAGGGGAGCCAACGAGGGTGCGCGATTCGTCTCAAGGGAGGAAAAGGACCGACCGTTAATCTCCTGGAAGGCGAACCTATAGATGATGACCCAAAAGTTGTAGAGGAAGGCAAGTGACACCACCATGGACCAATAGTAGCAGAGTCTTCCCGCTGGATCGAAGACGAAGGACCAATTGGGAGCCCCCGTGCGAAACCCTCGCGATCCTGGCTGACCGGGATATCCTCGACTGCCCCGTTGCTGTTGCTGCTGCTGGGCTGTATACCTTCTGAAATGCCATGGGAAATTACAGGCGAGCTTCCCACCATTGCTCTTCTCCCATTTCTACGGAAGCTACATCCCGACGGAACTTCATAATCACGGCGGAAAATATGGATCGCGAACCTGTAGGAGCCGTGCTCCGGGGCGATTTCCTCCTAACGGCCTCCATGCGCGGAAAATACCAGTGATATCAACCCTAAACGAGGCATTCCCAAACTTCCAATTTCGGATAATTACGAATTACGACTGACGTGATACATAATTCCGTATTAACGACCCCGTCGCGAGGTACTTTCGATATGGAACTTCCTCCAACCACGACGCCCCGTGCGTATCGATAAGTCGCGTAATGGCAAATCGTAAACTGGAACTACCGAGTCATATGCAGACAGACGTTACCAACGCCGATATAAAACCCTTTCATACATCCTTGCCCCAACAATTACCCTATTTTCAATTCATCACCAAAAACCATAAATACCCGGAGAAAAAATATTTCCTCGAATCCGCCAAATTCATACAAAATTGTCAAAAATCATTTCCTCGATTACCCTGAAATTTTCCGGTAGAACGTCCCAAAGTCTATATTAATTCGGCACAATTACCACAAATGTTGGGGTTCATTGACCAAGTTACCTTCCAACCAACGATTCAACCAAAACACATTAGTTGACCGAACCAAACAAGTTTGGGACCAAGTGAATTAACGCTCGGTTTACTCGACTGAAACGTTTTCTGAAACGCACCCGAACGTGGCGAAATGTGGCCCAATGAACCAAATGAAAGAAAGATCGTTCGCGGGAACGGAGGGTACTAACGTTTCGGTCCCGTTGCAGCTGCTGTTGCTGTTGAGATGGTTGATGGAGACCGGCGTGTGCAGGTGCGACTGGTCGCGCGAGGAGGCCAGGGCGATGGCGTTGGGCAGCTTGAACCTGCCCCTCAGGTGGTCCTTGCGCCTCGACTTGCGACTCAGGTCGAGCTCGCTCGCCCCGCGGTTCACGTAAGCCGCGTGCAGGGAGTCTCGCGACGAGCTGAAGAAGCGCTGCGACACGGAGTACACCTGAACCAACCCCCGCTACCTGTTCACCAATTTCCACCTTCCCCGATTTCCCGCCTCAGGCCGCTCGTCTCGTTTGTTTCGGCTATTTCGATTGTTTCGCTCAGGGCGGCGCTAGGCATTCTTATACAAGACCCAAGGGGGTATTCACTTATGGTCTCATGGATCTTAAAGCTTGAAACGGAAGTGGAAATAAAGTGGAGATCAGCTGAAAATCATTGGAAATCGTCGGACGATTTTAAGGTCGAATGTGATTTCCTACCGAATCGCATTGTTGTTTCTCTTATGAAATCAAATGTGATAGGCTCATAAAGAAAGAAATCGTTTTCGCTGATTTCCAAGTGAATAGCACAAATGCATAGAAATGTGATTGATGTGAATTTTGGTATTTATAAATATATCTCGGATTCTCAAAGTGCTGGTGAAAATTGAAAACATCTCTTTTTGCATCAGAGCTGAGTCTGTCATTGGCTCTTTCGGCATCCAACGCCCTTATGCCTTGTATAGGCTGCTTAGTGCCGGATCTGGTTTCGGCCCTTTTATCCCTGGCCATAGGACTTGCCTACACGGTGATTCCGCGCCGGAACGGCGGCCGGGCTCGGGCGATAAACCGCGAATATCAGAGAAAAAAGAGGAGCAGGTGCGGAGACGCGTTTCGGGGAGAGCATTTTTTTTATATCATTTTTTAAGGCCTGATTGGAAGGAAAGTATGGCTTTTGATGGGAAAGAAGGTGATTATTTATCAGGGGACGGTTCATTTGAGGTAAGGGGTCAATGAAGTTAAAATGTCTTTCATTTTTGAGAGAGTAGAAGTGCCGATGTATATTAAATGTAGAAAGCGAAATTTCTTAACTGTGTAGTTGTCTGGTTTTATGTTCCTGTTTTTTGAATTTTTTCTTTGTTATTTGATAATTTGGTATGGAATTTCCGATTTGAGTGCGGAGATCCCTTCAGTAAGTATTCATATATATATTATATATTTGCGATAGAGAACCGATGAAGCAAATCGAAGAGTAGCCTCCACGAACGATACGATCGACCACTTAGAGCCTCGAAGGTAGGTGGACGTTTTCCCTGTATTCACCATCTTAAATGTTGATTCCAATGCGCTGAGCGATTATTGTGGCTTTTTGCAGTTCTTTTCCCCGAATTTCGGAAGTAGATAGGGAAAAGACTCACTTTCGGTCGCTAATGTCTCCTTTTATCTTTACGTACTGACCTGCTGCTGCTGATGGTAGTAGTGATGGGTGGGCGTGTGCCGCCCCATGAGCTTGCTGCTGACGAGATCCAGAAGACTCTGCCTGGAGGGAATGCCACTCCTGGAGATGTTCTCCACACTCTTCGAGTCCTCTTCTCGATCCCGCCCAGGTCCCCTGCCATCTCCGGCTCTGGAGACCCTATCGCTTCTGTCGGCCCTATCGGCCCTTTCTCGAAGCCGCTCGCCGGTGTACACCAGGGCCGTCACCGAGCCCTCGCTCAGCCGGTCGCTGCCGATGCCCACGTGGCCACCTGGCGTCGCGACGCCTGGAAATATATCATTCATAATTTATTTCCACAAGCCAAAGACAATAACACTTTCGATCATTATCTATGCAAGCCCACTGAACGATCCGATTAACCCTCAAAAAACAAAAAAAAAAGAAATTGAGAAAATTCATAAATATACAAAGTGCTCCGGTACTAAAATTAAAAAAAAGAATTTTTTTATCGTAAACAGGCAGAAATTCAGGTGATAAAGGTGAAAAAGAAATGTTTCCAAAATGCGTCGTTTTCATGGTATAAAATTTCAAATACAACCTATCCGTTTAGCAGTCGCGCACCTCCGAGACACAAATTGCTAAACGCTCTCTCTAGCTCCATTTGAAAAAGACACGCCATGGGAATTATGCACGTTAGAGAAATATTACACAGTTTACATCAATTGTACCGGGAATCGCATCCACTATCTACCTGGGTGTTCACTTTGGAACATCCTATAAATCTCTCACCTTCCTCCTAACTGTTCTATATGCACACAAGACGCTCTGCAGATGGCTAAATAAACCTCATTACGAGTACGTGAAATCTCACTTCTAACAAAGGATAGTGGTCAATTACCGCTTATCGGAGTCCGAAAACTCACTTTCCGGCCGGTCTCCGTTATGCCCGACATAACGCGAATGCTCGTTTCAACCGCGATGTTCACGCGTGTTGACGGAATATAGGCACGTAGATGCACGAGGCGTAAGCCGCTCGGTTTAGAGTCGACACGGGCCGTGAATTCTGCAGGGAGCGAACGTCGTTTGTCTTACCGGTTGATTAGGCCCGACCGTACGCTTTGCAGGTGCCTATCACTGATGTCGCAACCGTACGGCTGCCGGGCTGATAAGTGTCTGTGCTGTTGTCGTTGACGTTCTCGATTTCGACCTCGTCAAAATGACAAAGGACCGCTGTAAACAGCGCGTGTAAACAGAGATTCGACTTAAGGACTTCGGAGGTGATTCGGCCTCGTGGAATCCCGTTCAAGTACCTGATTACGTACTATCCAACCGATCAGCTGATCGAGTGATGCGCTGCTCGCAAAAAGATATTGCAGCAGGTAAAAATTAAAATTTGTGTGCATTGGATAATCACGTTTATAGTTTTATAATGGAAGGAGACTATGGAATGGAGGGGAATGAAGGAGGTAATTCACAGGTATTTTTTATACCAAGATTGAATAGCGATTGCCTATCTCTTCACATTACACTAAACGGTTTATGTTAGGCTCTGACTTGCACGGTTTTTATTTTTAGCTGTTTGATTGTGGTTTTCTCGAATTTTAGTAGCGATTTGTTAAATACAGTAATTTACAAGTATTTAGGTTTTTTGCGGATTCTAGGGTGGATTGATTTATTTAGTCAAGGGGACTGAGTGATAAGAGAATAGAAACATTGAATTGAAATGTGATCCATGAAGGGCGAGGGAAAATATTAGTAAACTGGACCCGGGTGATCACGGCAGGGGAGACATTCTGGTACCTCCTGGAACAATAGACACACTGGACGGACAAAGTTTACCCAGCCTCCCGTAGTCGGCATATCGAATACACGGCGAAGACCCGACGTGTCCCTCGGTGTACAGAGCAAATGCGTAATACGGGGTAACGTACGTACTCGGCGATCGGTACATTGCGTGGCACGTAATGATCTGGTCAAAGCACCGGGAGCGATATTCCGGTCAGCTTTACCCGAGGTCGTGAATATTTCTCGGCGAGCTGAATCCACGGTGGTGCGTTATCATTGTCTCATGAATTAATTCCTTCACTCGAGATAAAACTTCGGCATAAAATTATGCCGCTTCAGATACAACCATCGGGAAAGAATTACCCCGAGGTACATCGTTCGCCCGGGACAAGAAATAAATACTGAAAGTCCGTTTCAAAAAGCCCACATTAGCCTGCCTACGACAATAAATACGATTAATAGTTAATAAATCTCTCGCAGTTGGGAGTTAAATGTTCCCCGAATTGATCCGGAGAGCACTATTCAAGATTCCTTTTTGCAAGGTAAGGTATTTAATGTTCATCTGAATTTTATCGACAAATTATCGTAACACTGAATGATACAGGGTATTTCCTTATCTCGGAATAAATATGCCCACCTATTTTATGCCGATATATTGAATTAATCTCTAGGAATACAATTATTTCTCCTTTGATATGGAATGTCTAAAAGGGGGAGGTCTTTCCTTCTTCCTTTTTCGTATCTCATTTCAGTCGTTCCGTCTTCCGGGGAAATCGTCCTCCTTATGTGTCGCGGCATGTGCGCGGCTAGCCGGAGGGAAGGGAAAAAGAAACGGAGCAGACGGAAGGCAATAGATGTCTTCTAGTCGTTGGTTACGAGCGATGTCGACGTTCGATGATATTACTCCTCGGATGTATCGGTCTAGACGAGGAAAAAGACCATCCGGGCTCGAAACGAAGCGGCGCAGCGTTTGAATTCGCGGCGGTCTCGTTCGGAACTCGTTCGGAACTCGTTCACCGCACCATTTCGAGCGATTTTCTTGCACGGCGTCCGAGAACTTCCGCCAGACAAGGTCTAAGTTGCTACGAAATGTCCTATTTCGGTGGGTAATTTGCGGAAAGTTGAAGGTGTTCGAGTTTTACTTGTCCGGTCGTTATCATTCCGGATTTCCGATTATCGCGACTTTCGTCGCGAGTGACTTTGAACTTTCATTCGGACTGAAAAAAGGGCGTTAAAACCGCCGCTAAAACGGTTTATTATAAATTTAGGCTTATTCGGGATATCAGGACCGAGATGGAAGGGGCTAAAAGTTCTTTTTCTAGCTTTTGATTTTTCCTTTGCACGGGTTAGAAAAGCTCCCTTCGGAGTGTCTTGTGGGATTCCGAGCGAGGAATAAAGAGTTCGATCTTGGGGACCCCGTGCAAATGTAATATTTTATCGGGCAAGCTACGAGAAGTGGATTTATCTTCGAAATTACTTATCGATCGGCCCAGACGGTGGCACAAAGCAGGAGCAAAGGCGAACAGAAATTTTCTACCGGGGAGTATAGTCGAGATGCCAAAACGAATTACGCCTGATTAAACAAAGTCTAGGACCTGGCTTAAAGCGACGTTATAACGATGCGCTTTATAACGAGGCAACGTAAACGACTCGACGTCGTTGTCAACTGCTCGGATCTCCCGTTACGGTTTTTTCATTATTTTCTCAACATCCCAACCTCCTGCCTGCACTTTTTTCCTCAAATCTACTTAACGTAATTACCAGTATAACGTCTTATTTTTTACGGTAAAAAAGATCCAGGGAATTGTTTCTATCCGGTCTCTTAGGGGTAAATTGGAGAATATTTTTTCCCTCGGCTTTTTAAAAGTTCTTTAGAGAACATACTTTATACAGTCCATTAGATAGATTTATGGGACGTCCCCTGATAAATATTGACTTAAAGGGAGCGTCCCCATTTTGACCCATTACCTTGACTACGACAGTTTCGCGTCAGTGTAGTGACGTCGGCGACGCGGCGGTATGAAAAAATGCAGTGGCTGGAAAAATATAGATTGCGACGCGGCGGGGAATAATAAAAAAAGAAATGCAAAAGGAGGAGGGACTGGTATCGATCCATCCCCAGTCGTAGGACGAGGTCGATACTCGATGAAACGGAGCTCGGCGGTGCGATCCCGTGATGCGATTCAAAACGGGACAAAGCTGCCCCTTCGAATCGTTGCCGTTAGTGCCAATAGGAGTTTCTGGACCAACGAAAAAATCCTTTGACGTGATTTGTGGTCGAAGCGGACTCGCCTCGCCGGCTGGAGCGGAAACGGAGGAAGTGACGCCGTCAAGAACCGAAACGCTCTGACTGGGTCTGCGGCTATCGGTTTGGATAATTTCAAATTATTTAAAAATTTTTCTTACAGTCCTACGGCAGTCAAGATAGCGAAACTGGATGATCAATTCGCTGGTTTTCCGAATCGTGAGGCATTTCTAAGGTAACCGTATATCTTGGAGAAAAGTGGAAATTACTTCGTCGAGGAGTCAGAAACGGAAGAATCGAAATGCTATGACCGAGTCCCAGGTTGTCGCTTTGACATGATTTCAAATTAGTTTTCATATTTTCTTAAAAATCTGTGTCAATGAAAATAGTGAAACTGTACGATTAATCCTCTGCATTTCCAGATCGTTAGATATTTCTACGGTGGTTACATATTTTTTAGAAAAGTGGGGATCGCTTAACCGAGGAGTTACAATTCAAGAAAAAGATGCACTACTCGAGAGAGCCCGTATCGCATTAAATAAAATAAACTATTATTAAGAAATTCGTTCAAGTTCCGGCATGGTCAAGCCACTGAAACGAGTTTCTTCCCCAATCACGGGGCATTTCTGAAACGGCCGGTCGCGTTTTACGGACAAGCGAGAATTGCGCGAGAAAGACGGGAGATGGAATTCCTCGCGACATCGCGGGAAGACAATCGATCGAAGGTTAAGACCTTCGAGGAGTACGTCGTCAAGAGGGAGGCACGCGAGGTGAATCTTTAATCCATCCCCCGGCAGCTAAGCGAGCTATCGCCACCCTTCCGCTCGGATAGCCGGCGAGAATTCGAGCAGAGCCGAGAGGGTAGCAACGTGGCCGGCTTCGGAAAGCGGACCAGGTCGAGGAAGTTCGTCCTCGTCTCGGTAACCCAGACAATTCCGAGGAGAAGTCACTCACCGAGCTCCACCGAAAGGCCGAAGTCGTAAATTCGAGATCCCTACCTTCCCTTCTGCCTTTCGGATCCACCCCGTCTTATCTACTTCCCGAACGAGGAACGGCACGACATTGAAATTACAGGAAACAACGAACGTCCAACTTTCGAATTTCCCCTCCTCCGGCGAATGCCTTCTCATTACCGTTACAATTTTACCCCTTTCCAATTTCTACAACAATTTATCGCGCCACTTTTACCCCCTACTTGGCTGTACATTTGACGCTTGTGGTTGAATCCTTACAGGCACTCTTGTCCTTCGATTTATGTGCTGCCTCTTTATGCGGCTCTTTTTATACGCGGTACA